ATGCGGGGCTTGTTTGACCAATTCCGATCATGGCTTTCACCATTGGTGGACCAGCTCAACGACGAGTTGCTGATCGGAGGGCAAGGCCAGGATGTGGAAATGGATGAGATCTGCTTCCGATCCAAAACGTTGGACAACTGTGTGCTCTGGGTGCGCCACTTCGCCATGGTACGCAGAGGAAGTTCCAAAGTTTTCCTTGCACGACTCCCGTATCGCATCACCAAAGCTGGCCAAGGTGGTGGTGGTCCCATCAGTGTGCAGGACTGTGCTTTGAAGAGTTTAGGGATGCGTTAGCAAGGATTTTTCTTTTGGGAGCATTCAATGTGAGGTACACATCAAACCTACTTTATCGTATGTCCTGCAGGAGCTGGCATCGGTCTTGCGTCGTGATGATGGTTCTTTTCGACTTGGCGCTGGTAGTGTTTGCCACACGGATTCGGCCCGTGCGTACAAGCAGCTGGGCGTCGAGGATGGCCCCCTTTTCGATGGCTCCTTCTGCAACGCGAAGGAGCTCAAGGGTCTGAAGCTTGCCCACACCAATGTCAAGCACAAACCTCCAAAACCGGAGTTTACCAAGCCGTTTGACGTGCCTGTGTGGCAGGGTATTGATGACGATTGGGAGGTTGAGACGCGCATCGGCGGCACGCAGAGGCTGGATGGCTTTTTTGCCAGCTTCCGCCGAGACGTGGGGCGGCAGCCCTTCAACACTACTGGACCCACTGCACGGGACCATGTGCAAGTAGCAACAGTAGGGGCGGTAAACTGACACCCATTGTCGGCTTCAGAACCCACTTAGTTCTTATAACTCCCACAACCGGGTTACACGACCGCTCCTGCGCAGCCGGCTGCGAAGGCCTTGATTCGGCCCTTCTCGCGACATCGCCTTCTACAGGCAGTTCTCCCTCCATTCCGCAAACCCTCACACAGCCGCCAAGTGCCTTGCAGGAGCCAAAAAACTTCCGGCGCAACTTGCTCGCAGCCACAGCAGCGTCTGGCTCTGAAACATTCTCCAGACACGGTGTTGGTGTAATCCGGCTTTGAACCTGACCAAACCTGTTTACACCCTCCCCTCCAAGCTGCGTTACTGCTCACACGTCGGACGTGCAATGTTCTGGTCTCGAGTTCATCACACAAGGGCGCTCGCCCCTTTAGCTTCCCCCGGAAACCCCGAGGAAAACAAAACCCTGGAAAGCACCTTTCAAGGAAGCTGGAGGCCGAAGAAGGGTGCAGTTTCCGACTCTCTTCACAATCTGGCTGCCGACCGATGCTTGCACTGGAAAAAAGATTCCCTCCCTTGGAAGGCGAGCCCCAGGGTTTTGTTTTACTGCCGCCCCAAAATCATTAGCTTGTTGTTTGCGCAGGGCCTCCGAAATCGCGTCCATTCCCTTGCTGCCACAAGACTGGATGGCAAAGCCTCCTAAATCGCGTCAATTGCTTTTGACTTGGGGCAGGGGTCTCTAAAACAGTGCCATGCTGTTGAGGTCGCCTCGCGCGTCTCCACAATGCTGGGACATTTGGGTTACCTGTTCCGGCCTCACAGCGCTTTGTCTAAGTTTAGGATACCTTCTGACTCCTCAACTCGGTGTTGCTAGGATACCTTCTCACTCATAAATAAATCCGGCGTCGAAAAAGTATGGCTCATGCATCCTAAACCCTTTTGGATCCAAAAGCTACAAACTTGATTTTCACAGGCACCACGGGTGCTTGTCTTTGCATGGATTTTGAAAGGAGGAAGCCCGCATAGCGAAAACAGAGCAGGGAGGCCCCATAGTTCAAAAAAATATGGCTCATGCATCCTAAACCCTTTTGGATCCAAAAGCTACAAACTTGATTTTCACAGGCACCACGGGTGCTTGTCTTTGCATGGATTTTGAAAGGACGAAGCCCGCATAGCGAAAACAGAGCAGGGAGGCCCCAGAGTTCAAAAAAATATGGCTCATGCATCCTAAACCCTTTTGGATCCAAAAGCTACAAACTTGATTTTCACAGGCACCACGGGTGCTTGTCTTTGCATGGATTTTGAAAGGACGAAGCCCGCATAGCGAAAACAGAGCAGGGAGGCCCCAGAGTTCAAAAAAATATGGCTCATGAATCCTAAACCCTTTTGGATCCAAAAGCTACAAGATCTTCAAACTTTGATTTTCACAGGCACCACGGGTGCTTGTCTTTGCATGGATTTTGAAAGGACGAAGCCCGCATAGCGAAAACAGAGCAGGGAGGCCCCATAGTTCAAAAAAATATGGCTCATGCATCCTAAACCCTTTTGGATCCAAAAGCTACAAACTTGATTTTCACAGGCACCACGGGTGCTTGTCTTTGCATGGATTTTGAAAGGACGAAGCCCGCATAGCGAAAACAGAGCAGGGAGGCCCCAGAGTTCAAAAAAATATGGCTCATGAATCCTAAACCCTTTTGGATCCAAAAGCTACAAGATCTTCAAACTTTGATTTTCACAGGCACCACGGGTGCTTGTCTTTGCATGGATTTTGAAAGGACGAAGCCCGCATAGCGAAAACAGAGCAGGGAGGCCCCAGAGTTCAAAAAAATATGGCTCATGAATCCTAAACCCTTTTGGATCCAAAAGCTACAAGATCTTCAAACTTTGATTTTCACAGGCACCACGGGTGCTTGTCTTTGCATGGATTTTGAAAGGACGAAGCCCGCATAGCGAAAACAGAGCAGGGAGGCCCCATAGTTCAAAAAAATATGGCTCATGAATCCTAAACCCTTTTGGATCCAAAAGCTACAAGATCTTCAAACTTTGATTTTCACAGGCACCACGGGTGCTTGTCTTTGCATGGATTTTGAAAGGACGAAGCCCGCATAGCGAAAACAGAGCAGGGAGGCCCCAGAGTTCAAAAAAATATGGCTCATGCATCCTAAACCCTTTTGGATCCAAAAGCTACAAGATCTTCAAACTTTGATTTTCACAGGCACCACGGGTGCTTGTCTTTGCATGGATTTTGAAAGGACGAAGCCCGCATAGCGAAAACAGAGCAGGGAGGCCCCATAGTTCAAAAAAATATGGCTCATGAATCCTAAACCCTTTTGGATCCAAAAGCTACAAGATCTTCTAACTTTGATTTTCACAGGCACCACGGGTGCTTGTCTTTGCATGGATTTTGAAAGGACGAAGCCCGCATAGCGAAAACAGAGCAGGGAGGCCCCATAGTTCAAAAAAATATGGCTCATGAATCCTAAACCCTCTGGGACCCAAAAGCTACAAGATCTTCAAACTTTGATTTTCACAGGCACCACGGGTGCTTGTCTTTGCATGGATTTTGAAAGGACGAAGCCCGCATAGCGAAAACAGAGCAGGGAGGCCCCATAGTTCAAAAAAATATGGCTCATGAATCCTAAACCCTCTGGGACCCAAAAGCTACAAGACCTTCAAACTTATCACAAACTTATCACAGGCGCTTGTCACGACGTGCTAAACCAGCTCACGCTCCCTATTGGTGGGTGAACAGTCCGACACTTCGAGACTTCTGCGTCTCAATGATAGGAAGAGCCGACAGCCAAGGATCAAAAAACGCAAGCAGTCCAGCCCCCTACCTACTCCCTCCCACCCCGAGGCGATCAGTCGCAGTCCAACAGATGATGGCTTCGTGGTAGGACCTTTCCAGCTGGCCACATGAGTCACATGAACCAAGTATCTGAAGGAAGTGTTCCTTTCGCACTGATTTCGATTACTGTCGCAGCATCCAGTTCATCAGTCGGGCAAACTAACCTGTCTCACGAAGCTCACGTTCCCTATTGGCGGGTGAAGACTCTGACACTTTGGGACTTCTGCGTCTTAATGATAGGAAGAGCCGACATCCAAGGATCAAAAAGCGCACACAGTCCAGCCCCCTACCTACGCCCTCCCACCCCCTCCGAAACACCGAAAAACCCTGAACACGTGCACACAGTCCAGCCCCCTACCTACGCCCTCCCACCCCTCCGAAGCACCGAAAAGCCCTGAACACTGAGCGGCGTTCAGTCGCAGTCCAACAGATGATGGCTTCGTGGTATGACCTTACTGTCGCAGCATCCAGTTCATCAGTCGGGCAAACTAACCTGTCTCACGAGGCTCATGTTCCCTATTGGCGCGTGGTAATCCGACACTTCGGGACTTCTGCGTCTCAATGATAGGAACTCCCGCCCTCTCCGAAACACCGAAAAACCCTGAACACGTGCACACAGTCCCTACGCCCTCCCACCCCCTCCCAAGCACCGAAAAGCCCTGAACACTGAGCGGCGTTCAGTCGCAGTCCAACAGATGATGGCTTCGTCGCATGACCTTACTGTCGCAGCATCCAGTTCTCACGAAGCTCACGTTCCCTATTGGCGGGTGAAGACTCTGACACTTTGGGACTTCTGCGTCTTAATGATAGGAAGAGCCGACATCCAAGGATCAAAAAGCGCACACAGTCCAGCCCCCTACCTACGCCCTCCCACCCCCTCTGAAACACCGAAAAACCCTGAACACGTGCACACAGTCCCTCTGCCTACGCCCTCCCACCCCTCCGAAGCTGTGCTTGGGACGCGGGCAAGCGTGTGATGATGCGGCTGACAGGCAGTCCTTTCATGGGCATGGAGGACAAGACAGAAAACATTCGTCAACCAAACGAAGCGTCTGCGGTTCACAGGTGTGCTTTGGCCAAGTCGCGCACGGTGCAAAGTTTTTGGGGGCTCCGAAACATGACTTGCATCGCAAAGAGGCCGCGCAGAGGACGCCAAATCGCGCTTTCGCCCAAAGTCCGTGCATTTTCAGTACTCGAAATGGTGCTTCCGCCCAGATCCCACTCATGTTCCCCACCGGACAAGTGGGGTTGTTAGCTTTTAAGGACAAAGCGGCGGCGCACATCATGCGACGCGATTCTCAGGACAGAAGGCAGGACAGCGTTGAGGCAGACAGCAGTACGAGATGCAGGACGCTAAGCAGGCCAGGGAGGCTGAGGCGGGCAACTGTGCCGGATTGTGGCCACGTGCAATAAACAGGCCAGGAGGGCTCAGGCGGGGAATTGTGCCGGAATATGGCCAGACGCAGTAATTAAGCAGGCCAAGGAGCCTCGCAATAAGCAGGCCGGGAAGGCTCAGGGGTCAACTGTACCGGGCACACGGGAAGGCTCAGGCAGGCAACTGTACCGGAATGCGGCCACACGCACCAAGCTGGCCACATTTTGTGTGCTGTCACTACAAACTAGAAGGCCTTGAAATCGTGCGCTGCGCAGGGAATTTCCAGGGTTACGATTTTGTTTTGTGCGTTTTACAGTAGGAACCGCGCCAAAAAACACAAAATCGTAACCCTGGACGTTGTCAAAAAAAAGAGTCTTTTTCGTTTTTTTTAGAGAACACCCAGGGTTACGATTTTGTGTTTTTGGCACCGTTCCTACTGTAAAACGCACAAAACAAAATCGTAACCCTGGAATTTCCCTGCGCAGTGCACGATTTCGAGGCCTTCAAGAGCCATTTTCGGTGACTTTTCCAAGGTAAAACGCGCAAAGCAAAATCGTAACCCTGGACATTCCCTGCGCAGCGCACGATTTTCAAGGACTTCAGGAACCATTTTCGTGGTTTTCCTGAGGGAAAACGCTCCAAGCAAGATCGTAAGCCTAGAAATTCACTGCACCGTGCACGACTTCAAGGACTTTAGCAGCCATCTTCGTGATTTTCCGGAGGGACAATGCTCAAGGTGCAATCGTATCCCTGGAATGCGCTTTCAAGGACTTTAGGAGCTAGTTTTCCTTAGCGAAAACGCTCAACCATCCTGAACCCCAGGCCTTCTTCGCTCGCAGGCGCCCCAGAGGAGGCAGGTGTCCGATCACATCTGCCACAGCGTTTTTGATTCTAACTTGAGCCGAAGCCTGAAGCAAAAAAAAGCTTGAACTTCACCTGCTGCCCACGGATCTCGCCAAGAAATCCCAGATTGCCGGCATCACAGACCTACAAAGGAATTGTTGTTAAACTTCGGTGGAATTGTGGAATGGTTTCGTCCGCAAGCGCAAAAACTGTCTTCTTCTTCTGCCGCCTTTCCCCCCCCCAAGCCTGCCCCCCCAGCCTGCCCCCCCAACCTGCCCCCCCCGTTGTCCCTCCTCCTTTGGCTCTTCGGGGTTTTGGGATCAGGTTGCGGTAAAAGATCTGTCCAACTTTCCACGCCCCCATAACTCCCACAGCCCTCTTAAACGTCACAAAACTTCACAAACGCTTTCGTCGTCCTAGGGTCCTAGGCCCACGCTAATCATGATTGCGGACTCGTCAGCTTCTTTAAGCATCTTCAAGCCTCACGTTGGGGCTGGTGCTTGTGATACAGCTGCAGTGTAAGATCTGAACGCGGCACAGGCTGCCAAAGACGATCACAGCAGCTGCGCCTCACAAAGTTAAACAGTCGACGCTCCAGGCGTATGCTGTGCAGCGCTGCTGGCGCAGCCTCCAAAGCACCAGCTTCCAAAGTATCTGGCGCGGCTTCAAACCTGGTGTCATAAATTGAGCACCACAACTGAACCTTAAAAGGCTTGCACCGGTGCACCGGTACACTGTACACTGCAGCACGGGCTGCAAAACGCCAGA